GGGGGAACCCATTGTCATCAATCTTTTCTGACTCATGGTGACCCTGCAGGACAGAGTAGCCCCACAGGGTTTCTAAGGCTATAAGTCTTTGTGGGCACAAGCAGCTGACCATTTGAGCTGCATGAGCTGGCCCTATTTGAGGAGGAGGGCACTATTCAATCTACTAAACTTTATAACATGGTTTCCCACTTGAAATACTCAGACAGCTCTGTATATCAAAATATAGTTATACAGTTATAGTGTCATTACATTTACTCATTGCCTGCGATTCCATTGTTGGGGTGCAAATCATTTCGTCTGTCTTCTACTGTGAGATATATAGGTGGTTTCCCATAATAACTAGGAGGATTGTGTTGAGCAGTTGTGTTGACAAATCCATGTGCTCATACAGGAATGTTCCTGTAGGATGCCCAGCAGCGGAGGGATTGTTAGACATACGCACGTGTCCGTTTTGGAAGTATTGGGTATGCACTGACAAATTACCGAAACGCCACCCCATGCACATTCTCTCTCACCAGCTTCATCAGTGCATGCTCATTTCCCTACATTTCCTTGGCACTTCTTTTTATTAAAAAACAAATCCTAATACTGCAGGAATTAACTTTAAGATAGGATAATCCATATAATATTCTTATTATTGTTTCTCCATGCTAAGGGCTGAGGAAGCGACTTTTATACTAAAATAAAGTTAATTTAACTCTCGTTTTTTACACTGAACTGATCTCACCCCGAGTAATACATTTTTAAGTGTTGTGGGTTCCCCTCTGTCTAAGGCACATGAACAGAGTAAAAGGAAAGAGAAGCACACGAACAATTAGGTGGATAATCTACCTCTGACACCCTGCCCAGGGGCAGGAGGTTTTTTAAGCACATTTGTACATCGACACTGACCACATGACAGGTGCCCATGCCGCAGACAACAGTAATTATCGTTGTGGTTGTGTGTCAAGTGGGTTCCGACTTACAGTGACCATATGGTCAACTCCACCGGAGGACAGCCCTGCCCCCTCCTCACAACTGTTAGGTCTGAGCCCACCGTGGCCCCCACGATGCCAACCCATCTCCTTGAGCATCTTCTTCTTCCTCACTGACCCCTCTACTTTATCAAGGACAATGTCCTTCTCGAGAAGTTGGACCTCCTGATAACATGTCCAAAGGATGTGAGAAGAAGGCTTGCCATCCTCACTACTAAGGAGCAGTTAGTTGGCTGTACTTCTTTCAAGAGAGACTTCTTCATTCTTCTGGAAATCCTTGGTGTTCATTCTTCTTTAACACCACTACCATCAAAGGCACACCTTGCTTCTAGTCTTCCTTATTCATTGTCAGCTGTGGTATGCCCAAGGGGTCGCTGAAAACACCATGGCTTGGGTTAAGTGCATCTTCGCCCGCAAAAAGGCATCTGTGCTCCTCCACACTTTATAAAGGTCTTTCCCCAGGCAAGACACCATTTCATTGCTTGACTCTTGCTTCCTTGAGAGCTGACGGTGGAGCCAAGTAAAATGAAATTCCAGACAACGTCCATCTTTCCTCCGTTCATCATGATGTTGTCTATTGGTCCGGTGGAGATTTCCATTTTCTTTCTAGTGAGTTGTAATTCATATCGAAGACTGGAGTGTTTGAACATTTTCGTAAGGGCTTTGAGTCCTCTTCCAAGTTGAGCAAGTAAGTTTGTGTCACCTGCATATTTCAGGTTGTTAATGAGTCTTCCACCAATCCCGATGTCACATAGGTGTTCATATCGTCCAACTTCTTCTATGATTTGATCAGCATACATATTGGAACAAGTAAGGTAAAAGGATACATACAACCTTACCTGAGTTTATACCACTGGGCATCACCTTATTCCATTCAAATCTCTGTACAGATTCTGCAGGAGCACAACTAAGAATTCTGAAGTTTTCATTCTTTATAATGCTATCCTTCATTTGTGAATTCTCTGCAAAGCCAGTAGAATACAAGTCAACATTTTTCTGATAGTCTACGTTTTCAGCCAAGACTCCTCCAATATCAATAATGATATCCCTCATT